AACAGTCTCACCAGGTACACTCCATTGGAGGAGTAACTGCTCTTCTCGTGCATCTTCTTGCCTCTTAGCTCTCCAGGCATGCAACTCGTTTGAAGCCCTCTTCTTTCTTCCAGTCACAGAAAGAGCAGCCCAAGTGCCACTGGCTGACAAGCCAGGATGGGCTTCTGCGCAGTGTCTTGTGCTCCCACAGCTTCTGTGGTATCTGCTGTAACGTCTGGTAAACTAATGCTTGCTAAGCTTGTTTACATCTCAGAAACCCAGGCCTTCCTCCCTTTCTTCTGACCTAACCTTTCCTGCTCTATCTAACCTTTACTATTTCTTCTGCCAGTTTTGGGTTTCGCTTCTTTTTGTCTTTCCAAATCTGAGTGTAATAGGCTGTTGATCGTAGAACTCTTTGCATGTGGGCATTGCTTGCTGTAAGCTACTTTCTCAGCATTGCCTTATTTTAGCCATAGAATCCCATATGTGGTGTTGACATTTGCATTTGTTTTTATAAATTCTCTTGATTGCTTAGTTGGTCACTGAGGTGCATCTCATTGTCCCCAGGTTCTCGTGTACTATCCATTCTTGTTGGTTTGCAGTTTATCCTTCATCATCTGAGATGAGTATGGTTTGGCTTTTCAAGACAGGGTTTCTATGTTGTAACAGTCCTGGTTGTCTCTGTAGACCAGGCTGGTCTTGAACTCAAGATACCTACCTGCTTCTGCCTCCTGAATGCTGAGATTAAAGGTGTGATCTACTCCTACCTAGATATGATTTCAGATCTTTAAAATTTTTAAAGTTATTTTTCTTTTATTTGAGGTTCTTTCACTTGGTTGAGATATGGTCCCTGTTTTTCCTGCTTTGCTGAGTATACCAGGCCATCTGGCTCAGATTCTGTGTGATCCTCTTGTCTCCACCTTACATCTTGCTGAGTTTCAGACATAGCTGTAGTTATCTAGAGTGCATTCTGTGGACCAGACTCAGGTCGGCATGCTTGTGTGACAAGCCTTGTGCTTACTGGGCCATCTCATTGGTTTTTTAAGATTTCTTGAGACTAGCAGGGGCAGGGGTGACACGTCTTTAATTCCAGCATTCAGGAGGCAGATCTCTTGAGTTCAAGGCCAGCCTGGTCTACACAGTAAGTTCCAGGACAGTCAGGGGTACAGAGAGAAATGTCTCCAAAAACAAACAAAACGATTTCTTGAGACTTGATTTTTAAAATTTTTAATTATGTCTGTGAGTGCACATGTCCATGGAGGCCAGCAGAGTGTCTGCTTCTTTGGAGGTGGATTACAGGCAGTTGTGAGCTACCTTAGCTTGGATGCTGCTCAGGTCCTTTACAAGCATGATGTGTTGGTGTGTACGCTTAACCACTGAGCCAATTCAACAGCCTCAAGACTTGATTATTTGTTGTTGTTTTTGTTTTTTGTTTTTCAAGGCAGGGTCTCTCTATATTGTTTTGGAGGCTGTCCTGGAACTTGCTTTCGAACTCACAGAGATCTGCCTGCCTCTGCCTCCAGAGTGCTGGGCAACCTTGAACTCCTGATCCTCTTCCTTTTACAGTCAAAAAAGCTGGGATTATTTATGTGTACCACCACATCTAATCTGTATGGTGCTAGGATTGAACCCTAGGCAAGCACAGTACAAACTGGGTCATGTGAGATTTTCATGTTCATGTGTTTTCCCGATGGTGGTTGATATTTTGTCGAGTGTAGAGTTTCTTGGCTGTTCCTTTACAGGTTTTTATAGGAGTAGCCAAACAGTGATGAATTCCCTCAGCTTCTGCTCACCTGTGAAGACCTTCATCTTTCAGTTCTGAAAAGTAATTTTTGCAGACTCATTTTTTATTTTATATACATGAGTGTTTATGTATATTGTAGGTGCTGAAATTTGAACCTGGGTCCTCTGTAGTGGCAGCCAGTGCTCTTTGGCAGATAAGCCATCCCTTCATCCTAGGGCATGGTAATTTTGTTGGCAGGTCTTCTCTCTAGACTGTGGTTTTGCCAAACAATTGGCTACAGGGCAGGATGTGGCTTTCATCCTACTGCTTTAGGATGCTATATTATGCTTTTGACCTTGTACTGTTACATTATTTATAACATTTACATATTCTATTGATTTTCTATACTGTGCTGTTCTGTATCTAAGTTTCCTTAGGATTGTTATTTTGTATTACCCTCCATGAATTTGGTCTTTCTGGAGCAGTGGTACAAACTGTAAGAGGTGTCATGGTTCCTTTCTTGATACTCATGTCCCTACATTGATGTGTGTGCATGTGATGTGACCTCTTCTGATTTGTGGATGAGACAGGGTGTATCAAAAAGCAAGCCTGGTATGGTGGTGCACACCTTTAGTCCTGGTACTTAGGTGGCAGAGGCAGGTGGATTTCTAGGAGTTCAAGGCCAGCCTGGTCTACAAAGTGACTTTTAAGTCAGCCAGGGTTGCATAAGAGACCTTGTTTCAAGAAACAAACAAAAAATTTAAAAAGCTGGCATTTAGGGATAGAAAGATGGCTTGGTGCTCTTGCAGAGGATCCAGATTCAATTCTCAGCACCCATAGGGTGGTTCACAGCTGTCTGCAACCCTAATTCCAAGGAATCTAACCTCCTCTGCAGGACCAGGCATAAGGCAGAACACCCATTCACACTTAAAGAAGTCATGAAAAAAGCCCTCAGCCTAAGCCCGATCATTCCAATGGAGCATACAAGCACATGACAGGTCACACAGGCAATACAGTCCTCTAAATCAACAGCATTTACAAGTTCATCAGTGATCTCCTTTCCATTTAAGAGCCACACTGACTGCTGGGTGCAGACCAGAGGGCGGATGCAGAGACTAAGTCATGTCCTCTGCAGTTGCCCATAGGTGCTGATGCTGAGCATTGGAGGATTAGAGGTGCTGAAGAGACACCGCATTCTGGACATGTAGCTGACAATGTGCAAGTGGACTGACTGGGTTTCTGCAGTAAAATTATTCAGATCTAGGCCGGGCGGTGGTGGCGCACACCTTAAATCCCAGCACTCGGGAGGCAGAGACAGGTGGATCTCTGTGAGTTCGAGGCCGGGCTGGACCGACAGCCTCCAAAACAATACAGAGAAACCCTGTCTCGTTAAAAAAACCTTTCTCGTGGCTTCTAGAATAATAATGCTCTCCCACACTGGATACTCTCTGACCTCTTTCCAGAATCTCCTTCATTTTAGCAACATGCATGGACACAGGAGACGTCCTCTCTCTAGCAAGGCTGTTTGAGCCAGCCCCACAGCTCTGAAAATGCACATCTCTGGCTAGCATCACCTTACTGTATAGTGCATACACCCATTGTGTGTTTAGCAGGCATCTCATACTAATCACAGTCAAGTCTGTCCTGGCCACACTCATCCCCACCCTAGTAATGCCTGCTGCTGCTGCTGCTGCTGCTGCTGCTTGAGCTGTTGAAGACCCAGCCAGGTGAGTCCATATTCTCAGTTGTGTTGCTCTCATTCTCATCAGCAAAGCCTTTTACTTTTGTAAGATGTTGTCAGTTTTTGGCTTTAAAACATGCCTAGAGCAGTGGTTCTCAGCCTTCCTAATGCTGTGACTCATTAATACAGTTCCTCATGTTGTGGTGACTCCCAACCTTAAAATTATTTTGTTGTGCCAGGTGGAGGTGGCACACACCTTTAATCCCAGCTCTTGGGAAGGCAGAGGCAGGCGGATCTTTGTGAGTTTGAGGCCAGCCTGGTCTACAGAGTGGTTTGCAGGGCAGACTCCAAAGCTACACACAGAAACCCTGTCTCTAAAAACAAAACAAACAAAAAAGTTGTGAACTTTGCAACTGTTATGAATCATAATCTGATATGCAAGATATGTGATGTGAAAGGGTCATTTGACACCCAGGTTGAGAAAGACTGTTAGGACCTAGATTCTAGCATCTAGCTACTGTCATCCTGAGGGCCAGCATCTTCCATTTGCAAAACAAGACTTGAAACAGTTCGCTAACTATGTAATGAATTGCAAATTTTTATTATACTCCAGGCTGGCCTTGCATTTATGGCAATTCTCCTGCCTCAGCTTCCTACAGGCAAGAGACATACTTGATTGGGGACTGAATCTCGGTATTGCATGCGCTAGGCAAGGACACGTCATTGACTACAACCACAGCTAATGGATTTGAAGATACTTGTATACTGATTACCCTGTGCAGGAAAGGAGCTCTTGACAGAACTTAATGTCTATTTGAGAAAGAAGGTGTGGTCTGGACAAGCACAGACTTATCAAATGTACTTCCTTTTCACTGAAGTGGAAGGCTCATGGGACATAGAATGTTGGGTTAAACTTGGGGGTGCAGTACCCACTACTTGTTCTTCCTGTCTGTTTCCTGGGAGCTGGGGAGATTAAGACAGTGACTGCCGGGTGGAGCAAACTGTGCTTTGTGCTTGCTCTGTCTTGGAGGAAACAGGAAACCTCCATATTGAAGACAGGCAGACTGCCAGTCCATAGGACACCAGATGCCAGCTGCAGCTGGGGAGACAGATGCCCCATGTTTACAGAACCAGCTGCCCTTGCAGAGGGCCCATGGTCGGTTCCCAGCACTAACACGGCAGCTTACAATGTTCTGGACTCTTAGTTCCACAGGAAACAACACTCTCTTCTGGCTTTCTTGGGAACGAGGCACACAATTTGCACACACACATATGCAGGTAAATGTTCATACATATAAACAAACTTTTTTTTTTCTTTTTGAGACAGGGTTTCTCTGTGTAGACCAGGCTGTCCTCAAACTCACAGAGATCTCTCTGCCTCTGCCTCCCGAGTGCTGGGATTAAAGGTGGGTACCACCACAGCACATCATTCTTTTTTTTTTTAATAAATCAAATTCAATAGAAAAATAAAATGTCACTATTATTAGCTCAACAATGCTAGGAGCTCTGTGGTGAAGCTGCTTCCTGTGCCCAAGTACCTACTGATACCTGAGGTCTAGCCTTGTCCAAAAGCTTTAAAATGAAATATACCAAAGTACAAGGATGACTAGTCTTGAGTGATGCTTCATCTGAAGGGGGAAAGGCCTTCTTACTCATTTATTTAAAACCACCTCTATTTTATCAACAGTAGCTGACAGGGCAAGTTAGAACATTCTCAGATCTCATAAAAACATTTATGCTATAATAGTTGTTACTGAGGTGAGCAACACAAGTACAGATAACACATTACACTAAACAGTGCAGATGCAGTATGCTCTGAAGACCACTTAGTCAGTCAGAATTGCCCTGCAGATACAAGACGTTAATGTCGGTGATCCATGAGAAGATCTTAAATAAACTTCACAAGGGAGCCCTGTAAGGTGGTACTCCCCCCCCAGGGGGCTGGGCTGCCCCCTCTGAGGATTCTGTTGAAGAGGATGATGAACTCCCTGGAGATACTGCTTCTAGTACTTCGGACCAGAGGTAGGCGATCAGCATTAGAGCACACAGTAAAATGACAAGAAATATAGGGACCACAAGCACCACCACTTTCATGTTTACATCTTCATCGTCCATCTTAGCCTTGTTATTGTCGAAAGATACAAACAAACTCAAGTTTCGATCAGCTGGCTTACCAACAGGACCACTGTCCACACTCCCCCCATTTCCTGGGCTGCTGCAGTCAGGAGGGGCAAAACCATTGTCACAATGACAGTGCCTAAGATTGTTGCACACTCCTTTCCCGTGACACATTTCCGCTGGCTCACAGTCGTACTGGAGCACTGTGTGGTCAATACAGTAGTACTCCATGCACACTTTGTTTGGGGCGCAGTAAGTGCCACTCTGCACATCCCCAAGGTCAGGGACATCAGTAATGTTATAGGCATCCATGCTCCAGCACCAATCATCTCCATAAGGAACCTGGAGGAGTGTGTGATGGGGTCTGACTTGCGGCAAGTTGCTAACATCTGTACATACCAGCTTCCCACAAAATACATCCTCATCGGAACATGTTTCATATCGTGAGTTAGCTGTGGTGGGATGGCCACAGTTTCCAAACCGGTTCCCTTTGGTGTTCATTAAAATGTAACAGTCGTCAGGGGCCGATCTTGCAGAATACCCATATATCTTTGTGCATTGCTTATCAGGGTTCTTGCACCAACCCCCAGAGCAGTAATAAATCCTATCACACAGCGTGCCATCCTGCTTATAGCTGTTTGCAGGGCAATCTTGAGAAGTGCCATTACAGTACTCAGGCAGGTCACACACATCTTCAACAGGACGACATAAGACCCCTTTCTTTTTGAAGTGACATTTGTAGCAGCAGAGTCCGTCACTACACTCTGCACCTTTCTTCAGTGTACAGGTTGGCTCACAGCATGGATGATGGTCACAAGCAGGACCACAGTCACACTCCTCCCAATCCTCCACCACACCGTTTCCACAACGGGTAGCTCTGCCCTTACGACTTTGGTGCCAAGGCCTGTCAAGCAGGCAGGCCCCTCTGTGGTCATGGAGGAAACGGTAGAAGTCATCAGAGCTGCAGTTGCTGAAGCCACTGTGCTTGGTGATATTCTCGTGCATGAGGCAGAGGTGCTTATGCTCACAGATGCAGGCCGGGTGGTCGTGCTGGATACCCAGGTTGTGCCCCAGCTCATGGGCCATAAGCGCCGCAAACAGCAGGACATCTTCATGATGGAAGGCCTCCACAGCTGCTGCAAACCCACCTGAACAGGCACCATTGAGAAACGCCTGGCCCTCGTTCTCTCCTGGGTGATGCCCGACGATCAAGTGTGCAACATCGTGCCTGAGCCGGTCCACGAGCTTCTCCTGTCTCCAGTGGTTGAAATCCCTCAGGGTAGCCTGCAGGTCCACCGGGGCCTTGATCAGGTCCCCCTCCGTCCAGATCTCCATGCCCACCAGCACCACCTCTGTGTTTAGTCCCCTAGTGAAGCTGTTGGCCAGAGCGATGATGTCCACTACTGCCTGGACCGTCTCGTTGACACTGCTGCCCCACATCTGAAAGCGCTGGTGGTTGACCACGACAAACATCTCCACATACTTGGTGTGTGACCTCAGGTCAGACAGCTCCCACAGGTCATAGGGCTTCCCGTTCCTTTGTTGCTGGCTGGTGTCCCCTGAGCTGCCTTTGGGAGTGACGCTGCAGGAGGCTCGAGGCTGATGTGCCACGGTGTACAGAATGTGTTCAAACCCTTTGGAAGAGAGCATAGGCTCGATGCTGTAGGATGTTTCCTCCTTAATCAGGACACCCCTGAGGCCTGAACAGATGTTGACAGAAACAAAAGAGCCTGGCACCCCTTCCATGTAGCCTTCATAGTGGCAGTGCTGTGAGAGGAGAGGCATCTCTTGCCCCAGGATGCCATTGTGGTAACTGTAGACTGGGAAGTTACTCACAGAGTGGTCTCCCTGTACCTTTAGGTGAAGCAGCTGCTGCTGGCCCTGCATCAGCAGCATGTAGGACACCCTTCCTCCAGGGTCTTCACTCCCCTCGGCTGGCAGTCTCTTGGGGATGACTGTCTCATAGGAAGAGTAGTACACAGATCCTGTGTCACAGAATGCACTTGGAAGAAAAATCAATAACACCAAGATCCCTACTTTGACAGATGGGTGTCCTGGCACTAGTCTCAGACCCAAGTTCAACTGCTGGGCAGCCCAAATGTGAGATGTTATCTTAGCTTCCTTTAAGGCCACTTTTGTTATCTGTAGAGAAGACAGAATGGAGGTAATCCCTCTTACTGATGCTGCCACTGACATGGCCCAAAGAAACCGTTATGTAGGATCTATGTCCATCAGCAGCACTCCTCCTGATAGGCTTTTTTCCGGACTCAGCAACCCAGATCTGTGCTTGTGCCTTGTGGGCTGCTCTCCATCTTGATTCTTACAGCCTTTAGGCTGTGTCTCTCTGTTCTTCCTTCTCTCCTGGGCCGCGGTGGTTATGGATAGCACAGGGACTCCTTCAGTGTTGCTTAAGTTCCTCTGATGTTCATGGAGGTGAGTGAGCCCTGTAGTCTGCAATGACTCAGCCAGTTCTGTAAGTCAGATCATCTTTCATTCTCTCCAGACCGTGGACATGACATCTGTTAACCTGCTCATTCTTTTGGGCCCAACATTCTGGCCGGGTTGCGGGGGAGGGGTCAGAGCTTCTCTGGGTTCTCTGAACAATTAAGAATTCTCTGTTGTCCTGCCTCTTTCCTCATCCTTATAGTGGTCATGTTTACTGGTGGTTGGTTCTCGCTCTTTTTTTTGTTTTGTTTTGTTTTGTTTTTTGAGACAGGGTTTCTCTGTGACTTTGGAGACTGTCCTGGAACTAGCTCTTGTAGACCAGGCTGGCCTGGAACTCACACAGATCCACCTGCCTCTGCCTCCCAAGTGCTGGGATTAAAAGGGCATGCGCCACCAACGCCCGGTGGTTAGTTCTCTTTTATCCATGACTGCTTTATTCCTTTCATTTAGAAGAACAGTATTTGGATGTTATGCTTTTGCTCATTCTTTGTGCATGTACGTAATGAATTTTGACATTTTACACCCTCTTCAAACATGGTCCTTCTCTATGGAGTGCTTCTAAGGCATAAGTGTTAAATGATCTCATTTTTACCACAGAAATGTATTAGAGCTTATAACCAATCTAAGTTAGTCCTCCCAATGGCCTCATAATAAAAATAAAATGGTAAAACAGACTGGTGACTCTAGTTTCAACAATGAAGAAAATGAAAACAAGCTCTGGACGAACCCTTACATTCCCACACTTGTCTCTTGACTACAGTGAGCTTCTGTCTGCAAATCCCAGGCTTTAGTTTCATCCTACTGTTATTATTGTGTGAACTATATACATTTAGAAGGAAACAGAAGCTATGTGTACACATCTCTTCCTCCATTTCTTCATTCTCCTACGTATGCTAAGATTAAAACTATACATCTTCTACATGGCATAAAAATAATTTTAAATTCTAAGTTAACTACATGTTAACAGTTAAAAATGGAGAATTGCCTTGTTTGTTCTAGAAAGGTGCACTCCTGTAATCTCAACACTTAGGAGGTAGAGACAGGAAGATCACAAGTTTAATATGCCAGCATGGTCTCCGAATAACTTCTGAGCCAGCCAGGGATACTAACCAAAACCTTCTTCAAAAAATAAAACAAAACCACCACCTCCACAAAAAACAAAACATATAAAACCATCTTAGTTATGAGAGAGTAATCAATTGACGATGCCTACCCTCCCTCACCCAGTGATGCCTAGCTCCTCTCAGATGGCCTCGGTCCAGCAAGCACACACTCACTGTGACAGTCAAGTCAAGCAAGTGGGCCCTCAGCTGCACTACTCATCTCTGTCGTCTGTGACGCAAACCTCTTCCAAGTACCTGCTCTGGAACTGATGTAAGTGTTCCGCTCTCCCAGTGTCATGACTAACACAAGAAAGGCTAGGTAAGTCGTAAGGGAAACGAAGGAACAGGAATGGAAGAAGTCTTTTTAAATTAAAAAATATGTAATTATACTGAAATATCTAATTTTCCAGTTCCCAAATTGAAACAAGTTTTCTTCAGTACATATGTACATCCTGGCACACAAAATCTGATTAAAATCTTTTGACTTTGAACTTGTTCATTCTCACATGTACAAAGAACTAACTTATTTTTTTTTTTAAAGCAATCCTTGCCGGGCGTTGGTGGTGCACGCCTTTAATCCCAGCACTTGGGAGGCAGTGTAACGGTCCAAGCTGGAACTTGCTTTGTAGACCAGGCTGGCTTTGAACTAACAGTTATCTACCTGCCTCTGCCTCTTGAGTGCTGGGATTTAAGGCTTGCACCACCACCCAGCAGAAATTTCTTTTTGAAACATCACTATAAGGATTGCTTTTTTTTTTTTTTTTTTTTTTTGGTTTTTCGACACAGGGTTTCTCTGTATTGTTTTGGAGGCTGTCCTAGAACTCGCTCTGTACACCAGGTTGGCCTCGAACTCCCAGAGATCCGCCTGCCTCTGCCTCCCAAGTGCTGGGATTAAAGGCGTGCGCCACCACCGCCCGGCCAGGTAGTGTTAGTTTTTTAGAGCCGTTTTTGGTGATTGTCTTTGCTTGCACCCAGAAGAACTCATAGGTAGGACAAGCCCTCTGTCTCAGTCATTCAGTTTTGTCTCATCCACTTCAACCAAAATGAATGTTACTGGACCAACAGCCTCCAAAACAATACAGAGAAACCCTGTCTCGTAAAAACCAAAAAAAAAACCCTAACACTACCAGAGGGGCTGGGTGTGCCTACATACACAACAGGTAACAAAGCAAAAAGCTGCTTTCTGGGCCCTAATTATGCTTCCTGAGATTGAAGAATACTGAAGAAAATAAACACAGCCAGGAAGAAGCCAATAAATCTAGGCAGAACCACTACTTATGGACAGCTGTAAGAGAAAAAACGACCAAACAAAATGGATCCTCTCTGATGGTGTTTCTCAGCAAAACTGTACCAGAAAGAGGCCAGGGGACTAAATGCTTGTAAAGTAACGCTGTGAAGGAGGCAGAGGACAGAGCAGGTGCCAGGGAAGGGGTGGGAAACTAAGTTAAAACCACAAAGAGTGAGCCCCAAAGCAAATCCCAGCGGGCTGAGGGAACACATCAACACACTTGACAAGTATAACACAAAGGCCACATTCCTGCTTTTCTGCCTTGAGTGGCCCCAGGCCAAGAAGTATATATCCTGGGAGCTATAGAAGGTAGTTGGCAAAACCTGGTTGGTTCCTAAAAACACCAGAACTAATCTAGGCAATGTGCATGGAGTGAACACCCAAGGCAAATGGAGTAGGGCACCATTTGTAAATTGTTGCTTCCAGAAAGCCTAGCATGGCTCCTTTATCTGCATTTGGCAAACAGTTATTAATATTTTCTTGACAGTGTCATCTTATAAGGCTCAACTATCCTATGTTAGTAAATATAGGAATTTTTTTTTTTTGGTTTTTCATGACAAGGTTTCTCTGTATTGTTTTGGAGGTTGTCCTGGAACTCGCTCTGTAGACCAGGCTGGTCTTGAACTCACAGAGATCCACCTGCCTCTGCCTCCTGAGTGCTGGGATTAAAGGTGTGTGCCACCACCACCTGGGTTGGCTTTTTTTTTAAAGGAAAACAGTTAACTGTTAAGAAACTCTGAACCTAAATCTATATAGCATCATTAAGCAATAAGGAAATGAAATTATGATTTATTAATTTACATAAAAATTACTTTTTACATTAAGGAATAATTTTCCAATTGTTAAAAACAGTTTGAAGCTTTCACTGCTGGGGCTCATGGGGAACAGTCTGCTCTTCGATCACCTGCTTCACAGCCTCTGCCAGCTTCAGCCGGTCTACTTTATCTGTGAATCCACGACCTGAAACTCAAGAAAGAGTGAGGTCAGTCTCCAGCCCCTCACATGGCTGGAGCCAGCATGCACACCTCACCAGCAGGAATCCACCCCACTGTCCAGGAGCAACTCAGATCCTCTGTTTTCAAGCAGCAACTAAGCAGTTTCACAAACCACAAACCAGTGATAACTGATGTACATCTGGCCAGGCACTCATACCCGAGCACATAAAAACTTCTGAAAGTGGGCGTTGTGGTGCACACCTTTAGCCCCAGCACTCAGGAGGCAGGCAGATATCTGTGGGTTCCAGGACAGCCGGGGCTACACAGAGAAACCCTGTCTCAAAAAATAACCAAAGAAAAGAAAAAGTAGCAACTGGGTAGAAAGGCAGGCCAAAAGTTAAAACAGGCACATACTAAAGGGATCAGTATGCATTTCTAAACAACACAAGGTCACCAGGCTAAATGCCAACTAAAGCCACACTGCAGTGAGTGACACTACAAAATCAGAAAGCAAAAAGCAGCAGAGCTGGTGCAGCGTCTGCAGATGCTCAGAGCCTCAAGCACCTGCATTGAGCATTCCTGAACTCATGCAACTGCTCTCAAAACCTGGACAGCAGGGCCTGCTAGTGAGGTTCATCCAATCCTGTGAGGTAAGAAACTATTTCACAAGCTGTTCATCAGGACACAGAAAAGAGTTCCCAACAGCCCTTTCCTTGTTTATTCGAACAAACTAAATGTCCCTGCAGTGGTGAGTGGACAGTGTGTATTCATGAGAATGTGGATGGAATTCACAAATACAATACTGACTAAAGAAGCCAGAGACAAAAGAATGAAGACCTGTCTGATTTTGTTTATGTAAGTATAAAACTTGGGACAGGAGAGATGGCTCAGTAGTTAAGAACATTTGCTGTTCTTGCAGAGGACGCAGGTTCAGTTTCTAGCACCCACATGGTGGCTCACAGTCACCAGTAACTCTCAATTTCAGGGACGCTGACTTCCCCTTGTGGCCTGTGCAGATACTAGCCCACATGTGCTACACAGACATACATGCAAACACTCAAAACAAACAAATAAAAAAACCTTACAGAGTACAGAACTAATAACCAGGGTTGGAATGGCCTTTGAGTGGAGGGCTGGATGAACTCCACCTGTCTGATGGAGATGCTGGCTCGTACACAGCAGGGTTCGCTCTCTGTGCACTCACAGTACACACTGTACAGATCACTTTTCCAGACCCATCACATAGTTCATGCTTTAAAACATGACTCTCTTCAGGTGTGGGGGTGACTAGGCACATTGAGGAAACACAAAAAGGGACAGAGTCAAAGCGCACACTCCCTCCCTTCCCTAAGACACTGATGAGGCACAGGTCTGGTACACTCAATTGCAGCCACAATGTCAACCCAGGCTGCTGAGCAGAGAAGGAAAAAGGTATCTCTCTACTTTGTTCTCCTGGGGAAGTAGTTTACCCAGTGGCAGATCTGGCAACCCTTGTCAGCCAAATGACTCTGAGCTTAACAGATGGTTACAGGGAACTTTCTGGTACTCCCCAACTGCATGGTCTTTGGCCACCTGGTGAACAGCCCAGGAAATGTGGGGCAAGAATCTCGTTTTGTTTTTGTCTTTTTTTTTCCCCCTCTCAAATATTTGGCAGAACTCTCTCCAATGTTCATTTTGTAACACACAGTGCACTGCACTTTGGAAACCAAGTGCAGGGAGCAGATACCAGACAAGCCAGGGCAGGTAAAGTAGGGCCTGCCCCCAGACCTCCTCTTCACACACCGCCCTCACCTGGCCCTGGCCTCAGAGACCCTGTGCATGCCGGGAGCTGGCTGGGAGCCAGCTGGTCTTACCGTTCCAGCTGAAGCCCTGCAGCGCGTCCCTCAGGAGTTTGCACTCACGGTTGTGCTTCCAGGCCTCCTGCATTACCTCGTCCAGCCGCTCATCCTCGTTCTCTCCTGTGACAAGAATGAAGAGTTTTCAATTTTCTGTAGCACCATGGGATTTTAGTGTCAAGAAATGGAAGGACATGGTGTCCAACTAGTTAAGAAAAGTATGACACAACATGCATAATTTGCTAGATACTAGCTTCCTGCAGCCTGGCGTTCCAGGCTGACCTTCCTGTCACTGAACTCTTCTAAGTTTGCATCGTCACACACATGCTCTGACAACCCTAAGACTGAGTGGTGTTGGGAGTTAGAGAAATGTGAGAGATGCTTCTACACAAAAGCATCTAGCCGAGAGAGGGAGAAGAACAAGGCTATGTGCTGCCCGCTTCTACACTCATCCCTTGCTGCAAGATACTCAGGCTGCACCCAGAGTGCTCGTAAGACAAAGGATTTACTAAGATGGGTTTTTTGGGCCCCACCTAATATGAAGCTTCATTCATTAGCTGAGAACAGACACTCATTATCACAGCCATATGAACAGGGAGGCTCTCCTGTAAAGTCCAGTGTTGGAAGCCGCAGCAGGGCTAGTCGTGAGCTTGTGCGGTGTCCTTACACTCACAGATGCACAGTATTGCATTGTCCTGGAAATGGTGTTGATGGTCTCTAACCAATACCTAGACCTTGTCACATTTCCATTCTTCACCCTCTCCTTTGTGCCTTCATTGCAAAACTCAGACAACTCAATCACATGCCACATCTGGCACTGGCAGTTAGCCTGAACTAGAACTTCACAGAAGACCAAAGACACAAACCTGCCATGTGTCTACACTTACTGTCTGCTTCCTAGTAGATGTGGACTCATTTTTGTAGTGTACTTCATGTAAGAGACAAACAGACCATCACGAATTATCCACTCCTCTTATCACATGCACACCCATGTGTGCTCATGTACACAAACACACACATGCAGAACATTAGTAAGTGGCATGACCTTTACCAGCCTGGGGGAGGATACACTGGGCAATGACATCTCGAAGCTTTTCCAAGGCAACATTTGAATCCTCAGCTCCATTCTCATGGTCGTGTATATAAATACCATCCTTTGGCTTGGTGCTTTACAAGCGTGGGGAAAGATAATAGCAAGGTAAGACCTCAGAACCCAGCTACAAACTCAAGATACCAGAACGTTCAGAAAAAAGTACAGACTGTGTCCAACTTCTGAGGCCACTTGTAAACTCACCACTCAACCATGCCTACCATGAAGAAGATCAAAGAAATAAGTTCACTTACCCAAGTAACTTCCTCTTTCTCAGGATGGGGTTGTTCACGGAGTGAAGGGGTTTCAGGCTAACTTTGAGGTCCTGGATTCTCATGTTGGCCAGCTGCTCGGCATGAGCCTGCTGGATCCCTGCAACCACTGCCTGCATGTAAATGCTATCATCAGTTACCCTGGCCTTCTGACTTTTTAATTGTTTTTGCTTATATCGCCTATGTTCATCTTAAACTCTTGAATTCATCCTGAGTGAGTGCTGGGAGTGGGGTGCCACTGTGCCTGGCTTTGTCAGCTTGTTTCCACATTGGTGCCGGACATTTAAAAAGCCAATCTGATTGCCGGGCAGTTTTGGCACACGCCTTTAATCCCAGCACTCTGGAGGCAGAGGCAGGCGGATCTCTGTGTGTTCAAGGCCAGCCTGGTCTACAGAGTGAGTTCCAGGACAGGCTCCAAAACAATACAGAGAAACCCTGTCTCGAAAAACCAAAAAAAAAGCTAGTCTGAGAGCAAGTATACGGATGGCACACACAGAGCATTCCTCCCTGGATCAATGAGGCCCAGGGGCCAGCAGACCATACAGAGGCCACCTCCCAGCTAGCCTTCCTTCATAATAGTTACTGATGGTGCTAGAGAGATAGCTCACAGGGAGGGTTAGGCACACACTGTTCTTACAGTTCCCAGTGCTCACAACAACCAATAGCTCTAGCTAAAGGAGATCTGATGCCCTCTTCTGGCCTTCAGAGGCACCGGAATGCACATGATGGCACACAGATAAATAAAACAACCAATCTTCAATGTTCCTCAAGACAGATGGCAGCCAGTAAATGTAGGAGGGTTTCTGCCTTCTTCCTGGGCAGCACAAACTCTCAGAGATGCTCAATTCTCAATTCCCACAGCATGCAAGTTCTGGCTTCTAAAATACTCACATTTTGTTTGAATGCCTTCCCAGCCAGTCTGATTAAAACTCCTTGGGGCAAGGGACCATGTATGATCTGTGCCACCAATCCCACACCACAAGTGTGAAGGATAGCCCTTGGAGCCTGATTTTTCAGGAAACATGAGAAAACAAGAATGCCTGTTTCCCTTTAGGTTCTATATTTAGTCAGCCCAACTTTCCTTTCTCATACTGTCTTTTTAGACAACAAAATAGGTGTCACTCAGAACCTTATCCATCATCAGCTGAGCAGAGGGCAGCACATTGTCCAGGGCCTCCGTGGAGTTAAGCCAGGGATGGTCCAACACTCCCTGGACAGTAAGTCTTTCCTCCGGTTTGACCTTTAGGAGCCTGCAGAGAAAATATATCAACAGAACCAACATGCACAGATGTCCCCAAAAGAAATAAAGCAAGTTCTTGGGTTGGGCTCCAAATAACCCTATCTTCTTTTGACTTTCTACCAATTCCTACAGGCCTGGGGCTTCTAGCAGCAAGCCAGGATGAGGGTTAGTCCTATGTACTTGTGGGTACACTATGGCTTAAGGTCTCCTGGGTGGCACATTGAAAGGGGTACCAGAAGCTGGGCAGTGGTGGCACACACCTTTAATCCCAGCACTCTGGAGGCAGAAGCAGGTGATCTCTGAATTTAAGGCCAGCCTGGTCTGCAAAGCAAGTTCTAGGACAGCCAGGGATATATACAGAGAAACTCTCCATTAAAAAAAAAAAAAAAAAAAAGGTCGGGCGTTGGTGGCGCACGCCTTTAATCCCAGCACTCGGGAGGCAGAGACAGGTGGATCTTTGTGAGTTTGAGACCAGCCTGGTCTATAAGAGCTAGTTCCAGGACAGGCTCCAAAGCCACAGAGAAACCCTGTCTTGAAAAACCAAAAGAAAAAAGAAAAAGCAACAAAAAACCAAAACCAAACTTCAGACCACATCACAAGATTCATTAGATAAACCAACATGCCTATAGGTCCTGCTGTATTTAATACCCACACTGAGGTTTCTGGGACAATGCTTCAACTACTTTAGGCTGATAGTGGCTGTAAATTAGCTGAGGGCCATGCCCTTTTGAAACAGGCTATTATCTAAGATAAAAGGAGATCCTATCATATGGTAGGACCTGAAGCTTTCTTTATTCAGAGACAGTCAACAACTACGACAGACTGCCAACAGTCTCTCTAGAAGCTGCGTTTGGTCAAACTTGGTGACCTCCCATCCATTCAGGCTAATTCATCCCCGTATACTCCTGGGCTCTCTGTAGTACACCTCTTCTAATTACATACCCCTCATTCCAATGTCTGAGTCAGAAAAAGTCTACATCCCTTGTCAAAAGTATGGATACTCAAGAATGATCTCTGACCTCTACATGCATGCATACCCACACACACAAGAGGCAGAGAATCACCAAGAGGACACCAAGATTTACTACAGAGCAGGGCATACAGTCAGGAAGCAGCATATGAAGACAGGTGGGAGTTCAAACACTGCTTCCACCATCAGAAAAAGTAATGTATATATTTTAGGAACTAATCCCTTTTTACAGCAGACTCCCTAAACCACTTTGTCAGCTTTTTTTTTAAAGTAGATTCAACGATCTACCCTTTTTTTTTTTAAAGATTTATTTATTTATTACATATATAGTGTTCTGTCTACATACCAGAAGAGGGCACCAGATTGAATTGTAGGTGGTTGTGAGCCACCATGTGGTTGCTGGGAATTGAACTCAGGACCTCTGGAAGAGCAGCCAGTGCTCTTAACCTCTGAGCCATCTCTCCAGTCCTACTTTGTCAGCTTTTAGTTTTGATAAACAGTCTATGCAGCCCAGGTAGGCACTGAATTCATGATTCTTCTGCCTCAGCCTCCCAAGTGTTGGTCTTACATGCAGGCATGAGTAAGCCTGGCACAAGCTCACTTCTGGAAGGAACTTCTATCTGTAGGACAGTCCCCAAGCCAAGTCCCCTTTCATGCTTTCCTTTCTCTTAACCCATAAAGAAACTGATGAAGCAGGCACAGCTGTGTTTCCCACACAGGCAACAGGTGGGAGTACATCTCAAGATCATCTCTGCCCTCAGAGGTCTCTGTCCCTAATCCTTTGCTATGTACGGTCACTGTCCCTAACCCTAACCCCCCACCCTTTTTTGATATCTCAAGACAGGGCTTCTCTGTATAACCCTGGATGTCCTGGAACTCATTCTATATATAGACCAGACCAGGCTGGTCTTGAACTCAGAGATCCTCCTGCCTTTGCCTCCCAGGTGCTCGGTTTAAAGGCGTGGGCCACTACTGCCTAGACTAGAAGAGAGCATTAAGCCCCATGGAACTGAAGTTCCAGGCAATTGTGAGCCACCATGTTGGTTCTGAGGACCTAGCTCTGCAAGAGCAGCAGCCAGTGCTCTGAACTACGGAGCCATCTCTCTAGTCCCTGCTACCCCTAATTATTATTGAATCCTGAGTTTAATATTTTCAGAGCAACCAGTTACCTGACAGAGAAGGCTGGGAATGGCCCTGAGTCTAATACCATACTGCAACAATATACAAGGAATGAAAGGCCAAAGGTCACTGTTACCTGGGACGCCAGTTAAAGTTCTAGCATCAGATATAACCCTGATAGCTGGTTTATATACACAAAGAGACACAATCTGGGCATGGAGGTGTCTACCTGTAATCCCAACACTCAAAAAACCAAGACAGGAAGATTGCCTCAAGTCTCAGACCTACTTCAACTACAAAGTGAGCTCTAGGCCAGCCAGAGTGAGAATAAGATCCTATTTCAAAACAAAACAAGAGTAAATAAACACCAAAGCAAACGTGCTGACAGAAGGAAGATGAGGGAGGGGAAGGGAGGGCATAGCAGGAGGCTGGCCACACAGGGCCCTGAATTTAATATCCAAGGAGAAAGACTACATGGCAACGGGGGCTCACAATATTGGGACAAAAAAAACTTTGGTGAGGGGTTGGTTTTTCAATGCAGGATCCCACTATGTAGCCCTGGCTGTCCTGAGCCTCACTGTAGACCAGGTTGGCCTCAAACTCACAGAGATCCTCCTGCCTCTTGTCTCCCAAGTGCTGGAATTAAAGGCATGAGCTTCCATGCCCAACTATAAGGAGAACTCTAGAACTCTTAACCCAAGCTGAAGAAACAGTAAGACAGACAATATCAGGCCCTCCCACAAATGATATGACAGACTCTGATAATTCCCCCATGGAAGGCCTCACCCGCCCTGGGGAGTGGATGAGGGGTAGGATGGGGGGCCGGTGGGGGACATGGGAGGATGGGAGGGAGAGGGAACTGGGATCGATATGTAAAATAAGTTTCTAAATTAATTAAATAAATAAACAAGAAGATAGCTAGCAGGCAACAAAGGACTTGTCTTTACCCTGAATTCCCCCAGGGCTCCCTAACTTCCCTTTCAGCAGACCAGGGACTCACTTCCTCACAACGTCTTTGGCCATCTCTGAGATCTGGCTCCACTCTTCTTCTGGAAACTCGAAACTTCCTGTCATGATCTTTCTCCGCATATCCTTTGGGATAGTCCGACTGTGGTGTTTGGAGTAAAAAGGAGGATATCCACACAACATCACATAGATGATCACCCCTAGGGACCACAGGTCACAGCTCTGAAAGCAAAGCAGGAAATAATCACTCAGATCAGAGAAGAGCCTCCAACTACAGTTCAGATGTATGCAGCCCCAACATGTACAGACTGATATCACAAAGGACAGTGGCAGCTAAGGATATCCTAGAAGACTAAGTGTTCTCTTCCAGTCTCTGAGAGCCACCAACACTACATGTATCAATCACATGGACATGAGCCAGCCTAGAGCAGAGAAGCAGAAAGCTAAAAGCCAGCTCGCACTGGACCATGTACTGTCAATCAGGATGGGTCAGGAGAACACTAACCATAGCAGCTGGCGCCTAAATGATGGCCAAAGCAGTGTAACACAATTTGGAACTCTAAAAGTATTTGCTGTTGGTCACACATGACAACTGTGTCCTACTCTATGCTCATTAAAAAATTCCATTTGAGCTGGGTGTTGGTGGCGCACGCCTTTAATCCCAGCACTTGGAAGGCAGGGGCAGGCAGATCTCCATGAGTTTGAGGCCAGCATGGTCTACAAAGCTACACAGAGAAACCCTGTCTCCAAAACCAAAACAAACAAAAGTCTATCTGAATTGTAAAAAAAAAAACAAAAAAAAACTATATAAATTACAATTGAAGAGAATACTGTTAAATAATGAAAGAACAGAGAAAGTTCTCCAGCTAAAAAGCCTCAAATAAGAAGTTTCTCCTTAACACTCCTCAGTAGTCAAGTATGAGCTCTGAAGGCATGTTTTACATTTCCTTGGATTCATTACTTGTTTTTCAGAGATATGGAGGTTGTAACAACCCTAGGAGCAAAATTACCTCTAAAATAGCTCTTGGGATCCTCTTGGTGGGAGGCTACCCAGGCAGTCAGTATGGGGACACTGTTCAGTACTCTGCTCTGGCTCAGGTGGGTCTGGGTCTGCAGTCACCTGTCCTGCAGCCAGCACACCATGCAAGCTCCATTAGACCAAATGTACAGGAGGTCACAGGATCGACCTACCAGTGAGCACTCGGCATCAGAGCTTTGCTGAACTTGGTGTATAATGTATGCTTGTACACACTTGTGGGGGATGCACACGCCTATGCACTGTGCATGTGAAACCAGAGGTTATCTGGTGTCCTCTCTATAGTTTTTTGGCATTAGTCCCTTGAAAAAGGGTATCTCACTGAACTTGCCATTATCTGGCTAGGCTTGTGGTCTGCAAACTCCACAAGTCCTTCTGAAAGTTCCTGTTGAGGGTGCAGCTTAGTGGCCTAAATGAAGCCTCACAGCTGGAGTGTGTGGCCCCATAGCAGTTACCCTGGGTTCCTCTGTCACCTGTAGCTACTTTCAAGTGCCCCAAAGCACACTTTTAAAAATCTACTCAGCGGGCTAGAGAGGTGGCTCAGAGGTTAAGAGCACTGACTGCTCTTCCAGAGGTCCTGAGTTCAATTCCCAGTAACCATATGGTGGCTCACAGCCATCTATAATTCAATCTGGTGCCCTCTTCCAGTATGTATGCAGAACACTGTATATGTAATAAATAAATAAACCTTAAAAAAAATCTACTCAGCAACTCCAGGACCCATGTCCAGAGGCACTGGCCTCATGAACTCCAGAGCCATGTTTGGTATTTAGCTGTAGATACAATACAGACAGCACCAAGTAACCAAGCACTTACTCTGCACAGAAGACACTGTCAAATTAGGCAGTTGTTTTTCACATTTGCCTTCTTTTAATCTTTTTCAAGCTGGCATTTTATGAAGCACCAAGACACGGTACCATAAATTACCAGAGTGCTCTTGAGTTTCAGTTTTTCTTTTCTTTTCTTTTTTTTTTTTTCTTTTTGGTTTTTTCGAGACAGGGTTTCCCTGTATCGTTTTGCGGGCTGTCCTGGAACTCGCTCATGTAGACCAGGCTGGCCTCGAACTCACAGAGATCCACCTGCCTCAGCCTCCCAAGTGGTGGGATTAAAGGCGTGCGCCACCAACGCCCGCGGGTTTCAGTTTTTCAAAAACAGCCTTTACTTCTAACATGGAAGCTAACCACGCCACTTCAGAGTCATCAGTGGACTGTTTGTGACTATGGCTCGTGGATCCTGCTGCAGGCACTAAACAAGTAAAAGTCTGCCTGACTTTATATATCTTAGTCACTTCTTGTATCCCAGCTGCTGCTGCTGCATCCCAACATCTCATAGAGTCACTAAGTCCACTGTAGGAAGGAGCTTACCACCTGCTCTCTTACCTTGTTGTAAGTGTAGGGCGTTGGCGAGGTAGGTATGATGCCAGACTTCTCCTTCTGGTGCCTTCTCTGTGCTTCCAGTACCTATCAGAGTCAGACCAAATGAGACAACTTGTTGGAAGTCACACCACCAGTGTCCCACAGCTTGGGACTGACTACAAGGCTAAAGATGAACTGTCAATCAACAATCAAAAAGTAAGATCAAGCCAGGGGATAGTGCTATACCTTCAATCCCAGCATTTGGAAGGCAGAGGCAGGCAGGTATACAAAGAAAACCTATTTCTGTCTCAAACAAACACCTCCAAAAACCATCAATACAGCACTTTCAGCAAGGCATGTTGGCAGACAACTTTAACCCATCGATAACCTAGTATACACAGTAAGTTTCAGAACATAGTGAGACCCTGTCTCAAAACCAAAACACTTTCAAATTTCCTTCTTACAGCTAGTAATTTTTTTTTTTTTTTTTTTTTTTTTGGTTTTTCGAGACAGGGTTTCTCTGTAGCTTTGGAGGCTGTCCTGGAACTCGCTCTGTAGACCAGGCTGGCCTCGAACTCACAGAGATCCACCTGCCTCTGCCTTCCGAGTGCTGGGATTAAAGGCGTGCGCCACCAATGCCCGGCACAGCTAGTAATTTATCAGTCAGTTAAGGATGTCTCCCTGGGGGCCGTGCAGTGGTGGCGCACTCTTTTAATCCCAACATTTAAGAGACAGAAGCAGGCAGATCTCTGTGATTTCGAGACCAACCTGGTCTACAAGAGCTAGTTCCAGGACAGCCTCCAAAGCCACAGAGAAACCCTGTCTCAAAAAAAGGATGTGTCCCTGAAGAGATCTGTCTCTTCTTCCTGCCCATGGGAGTCTGTGGCCACTGGCTTATCCCTGGGGATGCTCTTATGCCTAAGCAAAATCAGACTCAAACCAACCAGACAGGCTTCAGAGACTGCTCTTGCAGAGGATCCAAGGTCAAGTCCCAATATCGACAATTACATATAACTCCAGGTTCAGGAAATCTAACACCCTCTTGGGACCTGCATGAGCACGTATAGTAACATTCTTATATAAAAATACACTCAAAAGCTGGGCATGGTGGCACACGTATTTAACCCCAGCACTTGGGAGGCAGAGGGGGGCAGATCTCAGTTCGAGGCCGCCCTGGTCTACAAAGTGAATTCCAGGACTGCCAGGTCTGTTGCACAGAGAAACCCTATCTCAAAAAACAAAAACAAAAACAAAAAAACCAAACAGTTAAATCTTAAAAAACAAAGAAAAAGTAGGAACAAGAGCTACAGGCAATCTGGCAATATACCCTCAGGAAAAAAAAACACTTACCTGAGGTGCTACATAATAAGGGGTAAACTGGGGTGTCATCAAGTCACCTTGGTCAACTTTAGCAAACCCAAAGTCACATAATTTCACAGGGGCATCCTGAAAGAAAACAAACTGGGTCAATACTGCATAGTTGTCAGTAAACACTTAGAGAAGCCAGGTGTAGTGGCTCATGCCTATAATCCCAACATTGTAGACACTGAGGCAGGAGGATTGCCATGAGTTTGAGGCCAGCCTGGGCTCCAGAATAAAACCATATACATACGTACGCACATACGTGTGTGTGTGTGTGTGTGTGTGTGTGTGTGTGTGTGTGTGTACACAGAGAGAGAGGACGAAGCAAGCGTGAGGCTCTTGTCGGTTTCTAGCTGAGACCTGAGCCTGTGAAGGACATGGGGAAACTGTTCTTAGTACAGAGATTGTAGTAGGGGGCTCAGAACTTTTTTTTTTTTTTTTGGTTTTTCGAGACAGGGTTTCTCTGTGGCTTTGGAGGCTGTCCTGGAACTCGCTTGGTAGTCCAGGCTGGTCTCGAACTCACAGAGATCCGCCTGCCTCTGCCTCCCGAGTGCTGGGATTAAAGGCGTGCGCCACCAACGCCCGTCTGGGCTCAGAACTTATAAGCACTTCCTGATCTTGCTGAATGCATGGCTTTGGGCCCCAGCACCCACGTGGCAGCTCACAGCCACCTGTCACTGCAGTGCCAGTGCCTCCAATGTCCTTTTCTGGCCTTCACAGGTCCTGCATGCACCTGCAGGCAAGATACTCACATGCATAAAAATCAGGAATCTCAAAGTAATACAGAAGAGTCAGATTTGGTTCACGGTTGGGAGCACAGCTCAGGCTCTTAGTCTACTGTCCTCTCCTGTCATCACCCCAGTGCACTGCTTCATTCTGAACATAAGCCATGAGCTTCATGACAACTAGAGCAACTGGTAGAATATGGGGCAGGGAACAGGAATATAGACAGGGCTAACAGCAAATAAACTTAACTTTCAAGGTGACAAAAAATACCACATTAATTCCGGCCTCTCCCCAAAGACCCTCCAAATATTATTCAGACTTCTAAGTCCCACAAATACATCTGCACCTTCAAAATCACTGTTATAGGTGTCACAACATTTCTAAGCCCCAACAAGGAAACAAGTGGAAAGTAAGGTATTAGAAGCACCATGGACTAAAACCTCCTGCACATGGAATCAGCGCAGCAATAGGGAGGCACATACCTGCAATCTCAGAACTCAGGAAGCAAAGACAGAACTCTGAGTTCTAGGCCAGCCTAGTCTATGTGAGTTCCAGGCTTGATGTACACCAAGACAGTGTGACAAAACAAACCAAGGCTGGGGCTGTGCCTCAGTTGGCAGAGTGTTGGCCTACTATGCATGGAGTATAACTGAGTGTGGTCATGCAAACCTGGAATCCCAACACTCAGTAGAGGCAGGAGGATCAAGATTCAAGGTCATCTTCAGCTACACAGCAAGTTCACGGCCAGCCTCAGATACACAGACTGTCTAAAAAGAAAGGAGGGAGGGAAGGAGACAGAACAAAGTAACAGCATCAAATGAGGAAAAACAAGTTTTCTCACCAAAGAGTTATCCTTGAAAAGCAGATTTTCAGGCTTGAGGTCTCTGTGCGCAATGTTTAGCAAGTGACAGTGCTGTAGAGCCAGGGCTATCTGAAAAAGGGCACAGTGGAGCAGCCATTTCTGAGAAAAGCACCATCTCTCACACACATAGTACGAGAGCTCAGGGGTTAAGTCAATTATAACTGCGGCCAGTGTCAATTTCAAAACAGAAGCTAAGAAAGGCTTGGAACACCAACAAACAGAAATGAATTAACCTTAGTTTAACTATAGCATGTATTTACTAAGCAAACATAACTGCAAACAACCATTTGTCAGAATAAAGCAGTGAATACATCCTGTAAGACGCCCCACTGCCCCTTGGCCTGTGCTGTAACAGACTGTGGGACCCACAGGCAGCATCACAAGGCAGGATTTGCCCAGAAGGTGGCAGGACTGTGCAGTGGAGACACTGCACTCTACACGAGCTGCAATTTGACCTTCTTACTTAACGATACTGCATCTGCCCATGTGGACTGCATGGTTTTTGTTTTTTAACAGATGACCAGATCTCATCCTTTAGCCTCAGTATTTGAGTAATGAATGGTATAATTTAAAAGTCAAGCAGAAGGGATTCTGTGGTTCCTCAACTTGGTTTGTGACTCTTCTCAGCATTTCAAATACTGGTTACTCTCTAGTCAATAGCAAAGGAAGCATCAAAAGACACTTGAAAAGTGAGGTGGAAAATCTGTAAGCGCTTTCTCACAAGCTAACTGCTGTTCTGTGTGCTGTTCCATGGTCTACTCGCTTGTTCTGAAGACAAGCCTGAGGTTTAGCTTGTCACCTCCATGAGTAGTCAGTGCTGGCTGGGGTCAGGGTATCAAATGGGACACAAATCATTTATACAATAAAATATGATGGGTTATGACTAAGAATCATTCACTATTATAAAAATCTAAGAACAGTCTCAAAATTTGCAGAAATGATAGCTGACTTATACAAGAAACATCCCCAGTACAAATGCTGGAAAATAAGCTTATACTAAAGGATCTTTCAAGTGGCATCAAGAGCATCGAAAGCGACCTGTGCACAGCTGTCCTCAGACAGCCAGTGGAGGAGACTCTCAGAGCAGCCCTTGGGACACATGTGATAAGCAATTAAGAATACAATCTTCCCTCCCAAAGTAAAAAAGGGATGGCACTCTCCCTGTCAAGGTGTCCTTTCTGATTATAACAAAGCAGGCAATGAGAGGTCAAATGGAGCTTTTCCGCTTTCTTCCCCAATGCAATTGGACAGTTGGCGCCCCCCAGTGCCCACCCAGTGCCCACCCGGGTCAACTTGCCTGCTTTGTTACTTGGCTGGCTTGCTTCTCTGTAAAGTGCCGGTGCTGGCTGATCCTGTGAAATAGCTCGCCCCCTTCCATCATCTCCATTACAATTAAGAGTCGAGCCCTGTTTGAAAGCATTTGATTTTGTTAAGAAAAAAAGGGAGGGGGAGGGGAGCTTGAAGCATCAAAAAATGGACATGAAATGAACTCATCTACAAAATATATAACTACTTCCCAAGTTCAGGGTTATCTAGCTAGAAATTAAATACAATGATCACTGGACGTTGGTGGCGCATGCTTTAATCCCAGCACTCAGGAGGCAGAGGCAGATGGATCTCTGTGTGTTCAAGACCAGCCTGGTCTACAAGAGCTACTTCCAAGACAGCCTCCAAAATCAAAGAGAAACCTTTTCTTGAAAAACCAAATTAAAAAAAAAAAGCAATGATCCTCATATTCTCAGCTAAAAAAACATGAATTTTCCTATTCCTTCATATAAATGCTTCTGCTTTCATCCAAATGCTTTCACTAACAGAGCATATTGTGAAAAAACAATAGACTTCCCATTGGCTTTCAACACTCCATCTTTTACTAGCTCCACAATGCCCACTTCCCATAGCCTCTATGAGCTGCCTGCTTCCCAAGCTGCACTTACACTAGCACAGCTTTGTAAGATTCAGAATGCAAGGAAGAGGATTCCTTGCTTGACACCTACCACACTACAATGACAGGATTCACACCTCAGTCTCGATCTAAGGTACTTCTCAAATGTGCTGCCAAAAGAATAATGATGGTTTCTTTCTTCAAAAGGGAGGTCAGATCAAGCAATAGGGCCTTTGTATCAGCCTCTTAAGATTTGACCTGGAAGAACATTTGGGCCCCTCCCACCGATTTGGAATAGAGTCTATTTCAATTCCAATTTACTTAGAAACATACACTTACTACGTGGACAAGGCTTGACTAGAGTGTATGATCCTCCTGCCTTGGCTTCTCAGTACTAAGATTATAGGCATGCATGCACCACTATATATGGCTCTTCAATGTTTTTTTTTAGGTTCCATAAAGATAATTTATTTCAATGGCGTCATATATTTTGACTGTATTCAATCTTTGAACTCTTTCTCCCTCTCCTTTTTTCACTTTTTTTTTAAAGATTTATTTATTTATTAATACAACATCCTTCCTCCATGTATGTCTGCACATGCCAGAAGAGGGCACCAGATCTCATTACAGATGTTTGTGAGCCACCATGTGGTTGCTGGGAATTGAACTCAGGACCTCTGGAAGAGCAGTCAGTGCTCTTAACCTCTGAGCCATCTCTCCAGCCCATTCACTCTTTTTTTTTTAAACATTTTTTAATTTTAAATAGCTTGTTTTACATGTCAATCCCAGTTCCCTCTTCCTCCCCTCTTCTCTCTCTCTCTCTCCCCCCCCCACCCCAGTGTTAGAGAGATTAAATCCAGGGTCTTGGGTGTGCTTGGCAAACATGCTACCACTGACTTATAATCCTCAACCCTTAAAAGCTTTTGTAAGAACAGAAAATAATGAAAACAATGGTGGAGGAGGGCAGCAGATGGAACACGATTTCTCACAGGCAGCTAGTAAACCCAATGAGGAGAACTTGGGCATTCATTACATAATTCAGTTTTTAAACACAGAGAAAGGGGTAGGAAAAGGAGAGGGGAAGTGGGCGGGGAAGGGAAAGAGGACATAAAAGAGGACGATTCTGCTACAACATGACAGCCACAAGGACATATGTTAATGACCCTGGTTAGTCTTACCTGGGACTGGACTCATGAGGGAACTGTACACTGTTAGCAAACACTTCAATAATCTGAACTATATTGGGGTGTGTGGCACACATCATGTGCAGATGCACCTTAAAGAGAACACAGGAAAATGTCATCTTCCCCCAAACGTCCCGTCATCAAAAGCTGACCACACTAAGTCCAAAGGATGTCTACTTCTGTGAAACTCCTTACCACCTAGACTAATTAAAAAAAAAAAAAAAAAAAGTGTTTTCCTGTCCAGAACATCTCCCCAGTCTTCTCTCCACAAACAAAACTGCACTTACAGGCTCACTGTTTATGTCCTCTATTAGTAAATGAAAAAAAGAACTCACTTTATTTCACGATTACTGCTACTAATTTTGAAAAGAAGGGAAAAAGACTGATGCTAGCTAGCTTTCCATGCTAAGACAGAGCACTTGACAATGGCAATGTGAACATGCACTAGAAGTTCAGTAGGGAATTAAGATTCTTTATGCACCTCTATAGTTCCCAGAAAGCTGCTGCCTTAACTGTAAACACGTACATATTCTTAGGCCCTAAAAACATCTAAACATGGGCTGGAAAGATGGCCAAGTGGTTAAGAATGCTTCCTGTGCTACCAGAAAACACAAATTCAGTTCTCAGTACCCAGGTTAAGTGGTTCACAGTGCCTGTAACTCCAGTTCTAAGTCATCTAATACCCTCTTCTGGCCTTCGCAAACACTGAACACCCCTCCTCTGTGTGTGTGTGTGTGTGTGTGTGTGTGTGTGTGTGTGTGTGTGTGTGTGTGTGTAAGCAAGTAATAAGGGAACATACCTCATTTCTAGCTTTTGGACGATCGAGCAGGATTTTCAGTGCAAACCGTTCTTGAGTAGATTTCTTTACACAGACTCTAGGCATAGACGGGAATCATGGTGGCAGTTAGGATCTCATAGCAAGTACCAGGATAGCACGGCCTATAGAGACTCCATCTCAGACAGACAGACAAATACAACTTCCCTAGGGCAGCAGGTGGCAGGGAAAAAGTCTCTTGGGTCTCAGCCCAGCAGGAACATCAGCACTGCAGAAATGACAGCCTCAGAGGGGACCAGTCATCACACTGTTAACATTCCCTATCTGTTTTTACTGTATGAACGCTTTGTCTGCATGTAATCTGTTTACCAGAAGGTCAGAAGAGGGCACCAGATCCCCTGGGACAGGAGTTACAGGTGGCTGTGAGCTACTTTATAGATTATAGGAATTGAACCCAGGTCCTCTGCAAGGGCAGCCAGTGCTCTGACCCATCTCTCCAGCCCCACCTTTTACATTTTTTAATTCTTAATGTGTATGGATACACAGGGGGAGGTCACAGGGGAACCCATAGGGATCAGTTCTCTCCTTCCATAATTATTGTTGGTCTCAGAGATTGAATCCAGGCCATCAGGATTGTAAGCCAGCACCTCACATCTTAAAACTAACCTGTAATACTATAGACCATGTGATCTTGCTACCTAGCTGTGTCTAGATGTAAAACAAAAACAAAAACAAAAACAAAAAGCTAATAAAAGGTTTTTACTAGGGAGACAGTTAGATTTCTAGGACCCACATGGGGAAAGGAGAACCAACTCCTGACAGTCATCCTTTGACCTCCACACATGTGCTATATGGCACACATGGACACACGCACACGTTTACTCATAAAAATGTAAAATCAATCAAATAAATACCCTGTACTAGGAGCTGGGGATAGAGCTCAATGATACATGTTTTTTATACGCATAAAACCTGACACTACAACCAAATCCCAAAACCAAACAAAAACTCTACTATTTAAATTCAGGCTAATCCTCAAAGCACATCTGGTGCTTGTAGCTCAGAGCTCATTTTGTGTTTCCTCCCAGAGCAATGCACTGTTTCCCACGTGGGTGCCTTACCTAACTGGACCACTAATTCCCGCGCCCAGCTTCTGAGTCCAGTTGATACTGTATTCTTCTAAAATGGAGGTTTCCTATTAAAAAGAAGAAGACAAGGGGGAGAGGCAAAGGTGATTTCACTGTTACACTAGATAACTGAGCAGAGGCAGGACAGCCTTGGTTCAGCACCTCACCTTCTAAGCTAATCCATGGGTTTTGTAATTATACAGGTTCCAGAGCTAAAGGAAACTGTGACCCGTCTACATGGTCTATTTAAGTAGACAAATGATGCTTTATGGAGGGCGCCGTCAAACTTATTTATTTATTTATTTATTTATTTATTATGTATACAGTGTTCTGTCTGCATGCGTGCCTGCAGGCCATACAAGGTCATCAGATCTCATTATAGACAGTTGTGAGCCGCCATGTGGTTGCTGGGATTTGAACCCCGGGACCTCTGGAAGAGCAGCCAGTGCTCTTAACCACTAAGCCATCTCTCCAGCCCCTCGTCAAACTCTAACAAAGCTAGGACTTTAGACAGGTGTAGTACTTAGCTTACAAGAGGCTTACATCCATCCCAGCACCCCACCCCCATGCTCTTCATGGGAATACACATACAGCACAGTAACTTTCACGTCTTCACTACAACAATCAAGTGTACTTTCTGGGAGTCCAGAAAACTGTGTCAGATATCTGTAGAGGCTTACATCCTTCAACAGACTGTTCAACTTGTGCAAACAGGAGAGCAGAGTGGACTCTCAGGCCTAATCCTCCACCACGTGAAATTGGTAGTTTACTTGACAAACAGCCATGAGCCCTACACATTAATGCCTGGACTTCCTTCAGACACCTGCTTTTACAGAAGGAAGAAAGGCACTCACAGACCCACTCATACTGCTAGTCCTCAGTAACCATCCACCACAATCACCGAGAATGTTTAAACTCAGAACAACCCAATGCACAGGGCCTCACTTGAGACTCAGGTACAACTGATCTGGGATGGAGGAGATGAAGTATTTAGTTTCATTTCCCATCCATCATGATCTGGGTAGACCATCACATTCTATGGAGCTCAGGAGTAACAGAACAGCGCATTATCATACAGTGTGAAAGACAGGCAGCTCTTTCCAGAAATACGTTTAAAGCTAGACAAAACTGTCAAAAAAAAAAAACCCACAACTGCTCTCGCCTCAGCTGTCTTTTTTATCCCGCTAGAAGTCTAGAAGTGAGGTCAAAAGCAGCAGGAAGTCTGGCTCCTGCAGCCCTAGTCTCACTGCCCAAAGCAGTCAGTGGTGTTACTTGCTCCCAGCCTGGGGTGGGCTATGAAGAATAAACAATGCTGCTGCTACTCTACTGGACAGAAGGAAAACGGTAGACTGTGCAGGTAAGAGCAAGAGCATGTGGGTGACAAGGGACAATTGTGCTAAGCTCAAGACAATGGTCCTGTTCAGGAATGTAGAATATGTGGATTTAGAGGGCAAATCGCTACACAGCCACAGAATAAGGAGTGAGCTCTCCACAAAACAAGGGTTGGGAGACTGAGAGGCCACGGAAAATCTAAAGCCAGAAGTCACTTTGCAGTCAACTCTATTCTGAAAGGACTCCAGAACCACAGGAGTTGAGCGGCAGGGGATACAGGCCTCAGGAGTTCAAAACACTGAAAGTCTCTGCCCACATCAGGGAATGACATGACATAACTAAGTAGACAACACACACACACAAGCTTAAAAAAAAAAAAAGACCTACCAGCCCAGAGCAGACATTAGCACCCACGAGGAAAAGAATTCCCCTTTAATTCTAGGCAGCTACAAATGTAACAAGCTAGGGAACTGGTCAGAGTCCAGAGTAGTTGCAATGTTACCAAGTGTCCAACTTTCAAAAACAAAAACTAATAGATATATAAAACCTAAGAAATTATTCAATAGAAGAAAAAAAATAGCAACTATCCCTGACAAACTGTATACAAATAGGCTCTGCAAAATTTAATAGTTTCTGCTTTGTTTTGAATTAATTTTATTTTTTTATTCTTTATTTTTTTGGTTTTTACGAGACAGGGTTTCTCTGTATTGTTTTGGAGGCTGTCGGTCCAGCCCGGCCTCGAACTCACAGAGATCCACCTGCCTCTGCCTCCCGAGTGGTGGGATTAAAGGCGTGCGCCACCACTGCCCGGCCTAATTTTATTTTTTTTTATTTATTTTTTTACATTCATCGTTTTGCCTGCATTCAGGTCTGTGTGAAGGTGTCAGATCCCCTGAAGCTGGAGTTACAGACAGTTGTGAGCTGTCATATGGGTGCTAGGAATGGAACCCAAATTCTTCTGAAGAAAACCCAGTGCTCTTAAGGGCTAAGTCATCTCTCCAGAGCCTCTTGTTTTGTTTTTGAGACAAGAGTCTCACTATGTAGTCCAGGCCAATCTTGAATTCAGAGTTTACCAGCCTCTGTCTCCCAAGTGCTTGGATTAAAGGTGTTTCACCACTCCTGGCCTATTTGTTATTTTTGCCTTTGTTTTTAATTATGTGTGGGTTCATACCCACGTGTGTAAGTGTCCTGGAACCAGAAGAGGGTGTCAGACTCCTTGGAGCTAGAGGTGCAGGCTGTTTTGAGCAGCTATGGGCCACTCAGTGTGGATGCTAGGAACCAAACTTGAGTCCTCTACAAAAGTAGTACATGTTCTTAATCACTAAGCCATCTTTCCAGTCCTCCCTGGGGAAAAAATGTGATGTTTTTTTCTTTTCTAATTTCTTTTTTAAAATATGCCCAAGATCAGCAGGTAAAAAGCCACAAGCCTGCGCTGTATCCCTGGAACCCAAATGACAGAACCAGCTTTCATGTATACACACACACACACACGCACGCACGCACGCACGCACGCACGCACGCACGCACGCACGCACGCACACGCACGCTTTTAAAATTTTTTAACACGTTCAAAGACTAAAAAACAATACTGAGTCAAAATAAGGACTTTTTCCATTTCTTTGTCTTGTTTATTTGTTTTTGATATGGCACCTCACTGTTGCCTAGGCTAATCTAGAACTCCTGACCTCAAGCACATGCCACCATACCCAGCAAACATACTCTCAATGGTAAAGCAAAAACAATGAATAAATGCATGAAACTGTCAAACAAAAACATGAAAAGTGTCAGCACATAATGAAGCGGTCACACTAAATAAAAAAAAAATATCCACACTGTCTATTCTGGCCGGGCAGTGGTGGCAGAGGCCTTTAATCCCAGCACTCAGGAGGCAGAGGCAGCAAAACTCTGTGAATTCAAGGCCAGCCTGGTCTACAGAAACTCAAGTAAAAATGACTGTTCTTTAGTTTTTTCAGATAAGGTTTATCTGTGCAACAGCCTTGGCTGTCCTAGAACTCGCTCTGTAGATCAGGCTGGCCTTGAACTCACAGAGATCCACCTGCCTCTGCTCCTGAGTGCTGGGATTAAAGGAGTGCGCCACCATTGCCTGGTTTACTTGACTCATTCTAATTTATGTACTTACTTTTACACAGCATTTGTAGCCCCGGGATGGCCTCTTAACTTCCTATGTGGTCAAAGATGACCTTAAACTTTTTCTTATTATTTCATTGTGTGTGTGTGTCCTCAAAGACCAGAGGACAACCTGCAAGAGTCAGTTATCGACAGGCAGTGATGGCACACAATTTAATCCCAGCACTTAGGGGGCAAAGGCAGATGGATAGATCTCTGAATCTGAGGCCAGCCTGGTTTACAAAGCAAGATTCAGGGCAGGCTCCAAAGCTACAGAGAAACCCTGTCTCAAAAAACCAAGGAAAAAAAAAGAGGAGGAAGAAAGAAAGAAGGAAGGAAGGAAGGAAGGAAGGAAGGAAGGAAGGAAGGAAGGAAGGAAAGTTGATTCCAGCCATGGGGGTCCACGGATCTTAATCAGGGCTTCAGGCTTGTGCTCAGGTTCCCCTACCCACGAAAACCTGAAAACAGCACTGGTTCTGAGTTCTGATCCTCCCACGAGCTGGGATGACAGACTTGAATCACTGTGTCAGTTTTATGAGGTGCTAGGGAGCAAACCCAGGAGTTCATGCATGGTTAAGTAAGGTACTCTGCCAATTGGGCTATACTCCCAGTTCCGTTTGGGGTCATTTTACAACGCAGGGTGCTGTTAGAGCCTCTGAAATCAACTCTTGATTTCAAGGAGAGCATGCAAGAGAACAGGAAGGAACGAACACACAGATAAGGAGGGAAAATCCGAAGGACAGGTTCTGGACGAAGGCGAACCAGCTCCTGAAGCACTCGAGCATGCCTGTTTCAGACCTATAAGGAGGGGTCAGTCAGAGCCGCTGCCAAGTGTTGCAGCGGACCACTGAGGAGCAAACGGAGGAACTTGGGGGTGATGGAAACGTGAGAGTCCTAAGAAACCCTTAGTTCCACTCGTATCAAGTATCCCCACGCAACTCACCTTCGTTACAGATGAGCACAAACTACCTCGGCCAAGGAAGTTGCAGGGAATCGGACACCCCTAACCTCCACAATACAACACAGTCCAAGGAACCCGGGGAGGCCGAAACCTGGAATCACTAGATTCTAATGACTAGAACCTCTAACTCTCATTCAAGTTCTCTAGATTTCCCGAGGCTGGCGCTGACAGGAATCACAGGACAAAGCAGGGAACGGGTGGCATCTCTCTTACCTTGATGGCTTTCTCCATATCGCTATCCTCCGACATGCTCTGCAGGGCTCCCACGGCCCGGAGCAGCGGAGGTTGAGCGGCTGTCTGGTCCCCTGGCAGCCGAGGAAGCAAAGGGCTCGGAGCTCGGGTCCCCGAGCCTCGGGGAGACCGGCAATGCCCGCCACCGGGAATCGGAGGGGATGAGGGCCCGGGTGCCGGCTCAGCTTCTACAGGCGGCTCTAGGCTGGTGGGGGCGGTGGCGGCGGCAGCGGCGGCGGCCCCTGGGGACAAGCCTTTGTGCTGGGCCCCGCGCAGCCGCTTCCCGGCCTCATCCCCGGCCGGGGAGACAGGCTCCCGGGGCAGGGCGAGACGGGGAGGGGCCCGGCCTGGAGCGCCGTGCGGGGGGCTTGGGGGGCCGCCGCTTAGGCCCGGGCTCGCCAGGTCCTGAGGAGAGGCCTGCGCCGCCGCCGCCCGCACCGCCGCGAAGCCAAAGCCGAGCCCGCCGCCGCCGCCGCCGCCGCCGCCGCTCCCACTGCCGCTTCAGCGCCACACATCGCCGGGACGCCCGCGCCGGGCAGCTGCGCCGGCCGCCCGCCCGCGCCGAACCCTCTGCAACCCCACGCCATCCATGCTGCAGCCCAGCTCCGCGACCCCACAGCCCCACGCGCGCCTTGTCAGCGTCCGCCGGGCTTTCCGAGGCTCTCCGGGGCCGCGCGGCTGGTGTACAGGCGCCCGCCGGGTCCTCCCCGGGGCGCGCCGCACACAGCACAGGACCCCGGGCCTTCCGCCGCGATGGCGCGTGCTAGTGACGTAACACGGCGCGTCGGCCGATCAGCCCGGAGAGCAGCGGTGCGTTTGTGCTACGCGTGCGCAGGAGCCAGCTCGCCCATGTCTATGCCGCGAGGATTTACACCTCCGGAAAAAGCCGTAGAGGCTCTAGGGGCTGAACAGTAGTATCTTGGGGCATGCAGAGAGAGACCTCGCTATGGAGGAACCGACCGGATTGTGCTTGTCTTGTCAGCTGCCTGCTGTCACCTCAATACCCGAGGAATTCCCTCAAACTCCAGGGCCCAACGAGTTGGTGGCTTCCACACGGAGTTTTAGGGCTGGCCAGCTTGTGAAGCAGAATGGAAGGTTTTATTAAACTTTGTGTAAATGGAAGCTTACAGTACATGAGGGAGTTAGAGATGGGAATGAGCGTCTCAAGAGCAAACTTACCCAAGCGTGCAGCTTAAGTTGTTAACGGTCTTCACATTGGCCCTACACAAATCCTCTGTACCGTCTTGCGGTGGCTCGTTAGCTACATCTTAAAAAGTTCCTGAAAGCCGGGCCTGGTGGCAAATGCCTTTAATACCATTAGAGGCAGATGGATCTCCGAGTTCAAGCTAGCCTGGAGTTACGTGGAGAGGCTTGCCTCAGAAATTGGGAGGGAGGGCTGCTGAAGAAGTCCCCCTCACCCCGCCCCTCTTTTGGTAGGAGATATGTGAACTGCCTCTGGGGATGCTTTGGATGAAATCATAATCTAATAAAATGAAACCATGAGCGACAAGGGTTAAAAAAGAGCATGTTCTATTAAATTTCTGAGGCAGCTCGAAGAGACAGACAGAAGGCAGAAAAGAGATGAGACTTCGTTTACTGGCTTGCACAGCAGAGAGCAGACTCCTCCTGAAAGTTGGAAATGGTCTGCCAGAGGAAAAGATGGGTTCACCCCTTTAGAGTGAGGTCTTAAAGAATGCAGAAAGATGGGGGAGAGGCCTCAGCACACTCCATTTTATTTTATTGAGTTACCTAAATCAATTTAGATATTAAAATCAAAAGTTTCCTCCAGACCTGGTGTGGTGGCACATGCCTTTAATCCCAGTACTTGGGAGGCAGAAGCAGGCCAATCTCAAGAGTTCAAGGCCAGCCTGGTCTACAAAGTGAATTCCAGGACAGCCAGGGCTACACAAAGAAACCCTGTCTTAAAACAAACAAAAAGCCAGAAATTTCTAATTTGGGCCAGCAGTGGCCGTTGTCCGGTATGTATTGAGGCTAGATTGGGACCAAGAGATGAAAAAGGGTGGCCTCCTGAGGTTGTCCAACTGGAGCCCTTTATATTAGCCTGCAATCTTTTGGAACAGACAATTTGAAGCCCATAGCAGATGTGGAACGAAGCCAAAAAATGGGTTAACTTGAGCCATCCAGACTTGATTGATCAAATGTAATGAGCATAGTAAAAAAAATCTTTTAAACATGTTTAAAAAAATAGCTTAGGAACCCACTACACCCATCTGATAATTGCATCTCATAACCAAAACCCAGTGACATCACTCACCCAATAAAATCATACACAGTCCTAGAACCCCATGACACCCACTGGACAGTATATAAACAGAGACCAAGTGCTGTGCCCTGCACATCTGGAGAGACACCACCTTGATCTACTGTGTGGCTGGAAATTCTCCCCCAGGATCTCTTACCTTCAGCTAAGATACATCACACAGGTAAGCAGCCTTGGGGAGATAGGCTTAGGACCTGAGTTAGGAATTCAGAATGTGAGCCTTGTGTGATGACCCTCAGCATAATAAAATATAACTCATTATACCAACTACACGTATCTACATTCTACACCAAAAGTGCTGGGAAAGGCATCTCCTATCTCCCACAAGTCAAGAGACTTCAGAGCATGGAAGTTCCTGGAACTTTAAACCAAACAAGCCATGGAGGCCAATGGAGAATCCTGACAGCCAGTGGAAAGCCCCAGAACTTTTGAGTCCCAAGATGGAGAGTCTCACAGACCTAACCAGGGTGCCTCAGAGTTAGGTCCCAGGGGGTTCCCTTGTCCAGCATTTTCACTGTGTTAGATACATGGACTGATTGAAGGGAGAGTTGCCCTCCCATTTGGAGTTCAGACTGTGTCAGAGCATGTCAGAGGAGAGAAGGGTAGAGACAAAGAGAAAGAAACGGCTGTCTCAGGAGGACGGGCCAACTTGGCACATAGGATGGGCGAGAAGGTGAGCACGGGAGGTTCATGAGGGCCTCTGGTCTCCACACAACTCTGTGCCAGGTCGCACCACAGTCCCTTGCCCTCATGTGGGAATGGCCCACCTGTAGCCAATCAGGGTCTGGTCAGCTAACCCCAAGCTTGCCCCCCCATCCTCCCCACTGTAAGACTTCCTTCTGTAACTCGGGGACTGCACTCTGGGCCACCTGTGGATTTAGTAAACGCCTGTCAGTGTCTGGTTAGTTTCTCTGAGAGTATTTTCTTTCAGGTGTGCATGTTTTTGTTTCCAGTGATGGCTTATTACCAGATTGGGTCCCACAGTTACCTTGCCCAAAATGGGGTCCATAATATCCATTGTATCCAACATAAATATCATATGTATGTATGTATGTATGTATATATACACGCGCGCACATACACACACACCAAAGATATACCTTTGGTTTGCCTTAAAACAAATCTCAAGGTATTAGGCTTAACTGGCCTTTTCATACTCCTGCCAACTGAGACCTGGACAATGAAAACACATGACTTGATAGTTGGATTTTCAGATTCACAGGGACCCAGACAGCTCCATGAGCCAGCATGATAAACAGTCAGAAGTCCCTTGTATACAGGTTTGCTTTACCTCTGAGAATGTCCTTCTTTCTACCCAGAAAGTGCCACACACCAAATCCTTCTCCTTAGATTTCCCCCATCCCCAAAATTGCCCAGCCCCTCTTCTGCTTTCTCTGACCTTAATTCCACTGATGAACCGTCACCTTATCTAACCCACTGACCAGCCAGTGCACCCCACTACCTCCTCACTACCCCTAATTCAACTCCCTCACCAAATACCACCCCCACTGTCACCCCTGACACGCCTGCCTCTGTGTCCCCCATGCTCCATCCTTCCCTCCCCTCCTTTTACTCAGCCTCACACACAACGCAATTCCTAAAATTCCCGTGGGAGGCTGTAGGTCCAAGGGTCCCATCAAGGCTCAAATCCTGTCCTTTCAGACCGGAGCCAGATCCAAACAACCCTGGCATCTCTTTCCAAAAGCCCTCTTAAACTTAGAAAAGAATTCCTATGTCTCACCCAGATTTATCACTTAACCAGGGAGGTATTTACAGCATCTTCACCTCAGCCCTGACCCAGACAAAAAGGGAAGGAGCTGATCATCACTCAAGCTCGTGCAGATCACCTCCATGAGCAAGACTGAGGCATCAGCCCAGTTAGCCAACAATGGTCCTTGCTGCCCAGTGTGACTGGACCAACCCACGTGGGGACCCCGAAATACAAGGGCTCAATCGTGATAGCCTTCACAATACCCTGACACGAGACCCCTTGAGAAACCAGTCCCTACCCCCTCAATGATCTCTCTCCATCTGTGCCCTCTCTCTCTCTCTCTCTCTCTCTCTCTCTCTCTCTCTCTCTCTCTCTCTCTCTCTCTGTCTGTCTCTCTGTCTCTCTGTCTCTCTGTCTCTCTCTCTCTCTCTCTCTCTCTCTCTCTCTCTCTCTCTCTCTCTCTCTCTCACACACACACAGGCTCCCCAACTCCTGCCTGTCCTGGCTGGCCTAGGCATCGCTACTGCCCTGGGAACAGGCATCACAGGGGTGTCCACCTCTGCTCGATTTCAGTAGCTGCCAAAGGCATTTTCCAACTCCCTGACTGAGACAGCAGCCATTGGCAACACTCTTCAAAGGGTCAGTCTCCAAAATAGGTGTGCCCTCGATCTCCCAATGGCAGAAAAGAGGGGGACATGTGTTGTAGGAATAGCTTTGGAGTGTTGTGGGAATTCACTCCCCCAGGAGCTTTGAGGTACCAGCCTTAGGGTGTGACCTCTTGTCTGAGGTTGAGATCTCTTAAAAGAGAGAGGATGAGAGCTATTTTGGGTTGTGAAGACCGGGTCAGGTGACATGAAGCAGTGTGTGGCCAGTTCCCAGTTCCTTGGGCAGAACAGAAGGACTTTGCAGCTGGTTATACCTTGTCCTGTATCTGTGAGTCTGTTTCCCCATAGCATCCCTTACACACACACACACACACACACACACACACACACACACACACACACACACAAATCTGTCATTTGGGGTCTTGTAACAGTCATGCCCTTTCTCCAAGAAGACTACTGCTTCTATGTCAACCAATCAGATCTTTTGAGACATACATACCCCAATAAGCTCAAAAGGCTGGGCATTGGAATTACTCAGAAACAAGGGGAGCCAGGTCCATTTTAGGAAATGGCTACCCTGATTGGCACTACTCTTCTGATATGTGGTTTCATCTTTACTCACTACAGCCCCATCTAATTGACTGTTTTTTAAAGATATACTTTGTACAGTGTTCTGTCTGCATGTGTGCCTGCAGGCCAGAAGAGGGCACCAGATTCCGTTACAGTTGGTTATCAGCCACATTGTGATAGCTGGGAATTGAGCTCAGGACCTCTGGAAGAGCAGCCAGGGCTCTTAATCTCTGCACCATCTCTCTAGCTCCCCCCCTCCCATGACTATTTTTTGATTTTTT